GAGTCCCACATCGGGCTCCCTGCATGGAGCCTGCTTCTCCCTCTGCCTGTGTCTCTGCCTCTCCCTCTCTCTCTCTCTCTCTCTCAATCTCTCTCTTTGTGTCTCTCATGAATAAATAAATAAAAATCTTAAAAAAAAAAAAAAAAAACAACTGGGAAGCCTGCAGGGAGCCCCTCCCCTTGCTGGAGAGACAGACCAGACTATAGCTTCCCAAGGAAACATGACCACACACACTGGGATGAGACCTTTCTGGCTAAGATGAGCACAGAAAGAAAATGGAAGAGAATTAGATTAACCTAAGTATTTGGGACTTTGAATTATTCCTACAGGTAAAGGGATGCAGAGTTTTAAGTTTTTTTCTTTAACTATTTTCTCTCAGAGAACTTTATGATAAGACAGACAATTTCTAAATTTTAGAGATCTTTATGTACAGATTATCTTTATGTTACGACGTAGCTGCATTGCAGCCTCTGATTACCTATACTGAACAACATAACTGAGAAAGATCTGAGAGTGGGAAATAGGACAAAACAGCAAATTTTGAGCTTTAGTTACAAAACCTCCTTAGAGCTAATTTAATGGATGTAATATCATGAGTCATTTTCAAGCCTTCAGGAACAGAGTCTAAATTTCCCACTGTGACTCCAGAAGGATCTACAAAGAAGTAGGGGTTGTTATTTGGAGGAATGGCTTCATGAAAGTGAGAAATAACCTCCCCGCTGGCAGCTGACCTCCTCCCCCAAGGGGCTCAGCCGCCCTCGTGCCTGACCACAGCCCAATGGATAAAGCCAATAAGACAAGTGGCAAAAATTAGAGAGGGAGACAAAGCATGAGAGACTCCTAACTCTGGGAAATGAAAAAAGGGTTGCAGAAGGAGAGGTGGGCAGGGGGATGGGGTAGCTGGGTGACGGGCACTGAGGAGGGCACTTGATGGGATGAGCCCTGGGTGTTATACTATGTGTTGGCAAATCAAACTTAAATAAAAATAAATGTAAAAAAAAAAGGCCAATAAAATAATAGGGCAAGAAGTGTCAACTACTAAGGGGCCGGATGTGGTTCCCCACTATTCCTGTCCCCTAGGTAGGGATTTCAGCAACACACCTCTGCTAGCTTTGCTCCCTACCTCCTTCTGTCCCCCTACTGAGAGGGTAGGGATGAGTATGTTCAGCTTAGCACCTGTCTCTCTTCTCTTATGAAGTGTCGCTCTGCTCTGAGCTCTGTCACAAGCTAAGTGCTTGTCCCTCAGGGGATGCCTGAGGCTGACCAGCAGGGAGGGGAAATTTAGCTGTGAGATAAAGTTTTAACTAGTTCACTTAGCCACAGAGCCAAAGCTGCATTCCCTAATCAGTTTTATTAGAATAAAACTACTCTATTTTAAACTAAAATCAAAAATAATTGATGGAATGAAAGGATAAATTAATATAACTTCTACCCACATGAAGCTGAGTCAAGGTACAGTTTAGAGTCAATTTATTTGATAGAGAGTCCCCTAGAAGTCATTTTTAAGTAAATCATTTTTTTTATAAGTTAAGTTTTCTATTACCTCCCACATAGCTAATCCTCTATTCCCAGATAGATTAATCATCAGTGTTCATTAATTTCCTATTGGTGGCTCCTAACATTTAAACTTTAAAGTTTTCCATACCCACCAAGTAGTCAAATTATCTTAATAAACAATTCTTTAGGTGACTAGGGGGCTCTTTTAGCAAAGCACACTGTGAGCTTCTCTTAAGGTAGAGCAAGTCTTGAGTGAATAAAGCTGTTGACACTGTCAGAAGAGTGCCACCAGTTACTCTTGGCTTGTCTCATTTATCCTAATGACAACCCACTGCAGAGGTGAAGGACATTAAGTAACTGGCCCAAGTCTGCAAATCCAGTAAGTAGCACCAGCAAGATGTGAACCTGGATATGCCTCCAAACTCCACACAATCCCCTACCCCACAACACCCACATTCATAGATTTCCATGCTACCAAGACTGGAAGAAACCTTGCAAGTCACTCATCCCCTGCTAATGCCCCGCAAGCCTGACGTGCTTGGCTCAGGGACGGAGAGTTCAGAAGGCAGCCCCTTCCACTGCAGGGCAGCAGCCCTGTTGTTTCACCAACTCCTTGCTACAGAGGATGTCCTCTAGATCTGGCCCTGCTGGCCTGAAGCCCTTCTCCCTGCAGAGCCCCCAAACAGAACTATGGGGGTAGCAGAGTGTCTGTCCATCCTTAGATGAAACACCCTCAGCTCCTCCACCTATGTCCCACATACCTTGATCTTCAGCCTTTCCCCCAACCTTGTAGGAGCCTCCTCTGAGCACAGCCATTGCCAGGGAGACATCCGGGGTCTGGAACTGGACGTAATACTCCAGGATAGAGCGGACTAGAGCAGAGTAGTGCTAGGTTGTCATTGCCCTCATTGTGAGCATTGTTCTATCACATAGTATTTTTGTGGATGGTGGGGAATGGGGGGCGGAGGGGGGGGGCGAGCATTCTTCCTCTGCTCAAGAGCCTCCTGAGTGCAAAAATATTTTTTTACTAAATTGCATTTCCTGAAATGCCAGCATGCCAGAGTAAGTGATCAGGTGCTTTAAGAATAATTTTTAAAAAAAGATTCATTGTGACTATGCAAGTTTGGAATATACTGCTTAATATTCATTCATTAATAAGTCTTTACTGAGTGCCTGCTGTATGAAAGGTACTATCCTAGTCACCGATACATATCCGTGAACAAAACAAACCCAAATCCTTATCTATGGAAGCTACAGGCCTGACAAATACTATGAATGTGTGGAGACTATGAATGTAAGAAGACTCTTGATGCAGAAGAGCACATGATGGAAGAAATCCCAATGCATGGAAATAGGCTTAAGTTCCTTTATGTGGAGATACCCCCAAATATGATCCTTATATAATTGCTAACATCCCAGGGATTGGTACCAGGGTCCTTGGGTCACCAGTTTAAGAAACACATGCTTACAACACTGAACACAAATCACCTTGCCTTCAGCCAGTGTTTCCTTATGTCACTGCCATCTGTATGGAAACGTCCTAACATAAAAACCAAACAAAATAACAAACAACCTAAACATCAGACAAACGAGCATGGCAAGCCCGACCCATAGGAGGGCATAGAGGGGCCACCAAGATCCATAGAGGGGGCCACGAAGGTGCATGCTGGGAGGGAAGGGGGCTTATCTGAAGCTAAGGAATATGTGGGACAGACAAGGGGAGGGAGGCCAATGGGTGATCAAATTCTAAGAGAGGAGCAGCTGATCCAGTGCAGCTCCCAAACCAAGCATCAGTGACCCAGGTGGTCAGACCTGGGGAAGGGCAGGACTTAGCCAGGGAAACAGAAGGACCAGATCAGGAATCCCACTGCGAACAAGATCGGGATGAAGGAAAACCCAGAATGGACCCAGCACTGCCCAGGAGACCAGCGGCATGGTCCACAAGGTTCAGGCAGGCTCCTGGCAGCCCAGGGGGCTTTCTCCAGGATTCTGACACAGACCATTGAAAAGACACCTTTGCCTCCTGGTAGATTGACTACTTCCAAACCCAGCTGGCTTCTGTTTACAATCCAACATAACTCTTCGAGCTTAGCCCTTTTCATTGAACCTGCTACCTCCAGGCAAAAAGGCACAGAAGTAACATGAAAAGCATCAGTAGGTACCATAGCCCTGCTCAAAAATACCTCCAGGCTCCCCTTCCTCCCCAGGACTGCCTTCAATATCCTCACTCTTCGCCCCCTTGACTTTTTCACCCACTTTGGCCTCATGTTCCATAGGGTCCCTCTGGGACTTGAGAGCTCAGTTTGGGACACTGGCCCCAGCTTGAGCCACCACCCGCCCCTATATGTGCGGGCCAGCATTTGCACATCAATGCCAAGTACCAGCCCCAGCAGCCCAGCTTTTGGCCCTTCCTTCCACTCATCCCAGGCTCTTGGGACAGAGTGGCCTTTGCAGACTCTCCGGGGTTGGGGGGTGAGAATGCATCGGCCCAGCTGCACTGCCCAGCAGCAGGTGGGCCGGGTCAGAAGAGCCTGTACCCTGTGCAAAATGAGCCAGACACACAGGAAGGAGAAAAAGGAAGCTCCTGGATGCGGAGAAAGGCTGAGTCTGGAGAGAAGCTGATAGGGAAAGGGACTTGCTATTTGTGGAAGGCTTTTATTTGGTGGTGGGAAAAGAATGGCAAATATGTAACACAATATTTCTGTAACTATAAATAACATGTAAATACCTTTCATAATGAAAACCTTATGGAATCCGCTTTTCTGGGAGGCTTTTAAAATAGGAAAAGGCAACAGAGGGAAATAACATATATTTAACCCATACTATGATGTTTGCTTAATCCTCTCACTTTTCTTCTGGGGAAGGTTTTCACTTTGTGGATGAAGAAAATGAGGCCTTTTGGAGGTTAAGGACATAATCAAGGTCTCACAGTGAACCAGAGTTTGAAAGTAGATCTATCTGGTTCCAAAGTCCTCGTTCTTTCTAGAATCAAGCACGACCCTGCCTAGAGGCAGGGGCTGGACTATATATGACCTTCCGAGATTCTTTTCTATTGCCGGGATTTCTGGAATTGGTTTGTTCCCCACAGGTACCTTACATCTTTCAGGACACTAGGGACCCACTCCATGTACTGTGGACAATAAGTACACGGAGATTTAAGGTGGTAGGAACGATACTGAAAGTGCAGCTGGGAAATGCCAACTTCTGCGTGGACTTGCTCTGTGCTCTGTGAACCTTAGGTAAGTCTCTTCCCTCTCTGGGTTCTAGTTTTCACATCTGGAAAATGGAGATTTGGGCTAACATGGGAAGCCTTGAGCTCTAACAATCCTGTTTGCTAGGTGCCGGAGTTCACCTTGGTAGTCTGAGGCTATCCCCTGCCCCTGCCTCCCCCAAGAAAGGACTTTTTAGGGCTTCCCACGGCCTGGTGCACACCTTTCCTAACCCACACCCCCACCCCGGGGGTCTACACAAGCACCCCTCTCCGCAGCCCTGCCCGCACTGACCTGCACTTCCCGGGTCAGGGCCAGCTCCAGCAGCTGGCCGAAGTGCCGGCCCAGCGTGCTCAAGGTCTCACTCACACAGGCCTTCATTGACTTCAGGACATGCTCATTCTCAACCTGGAGGCACCTGGGAGAAAGAAGCCGCAGAGTGGGGCCACTGGGAGGGGCAGGTATCCAGCCTAGAACCATCCTAGGGGCCATATCTGGGCCTGCTGCAGGCCTGGGGGTGGTGCCAGTGGCCTAGGGAGAAGCCATCAGCTAGCTCCAGGGGAATCAGAGATGGAATATTCCATAACAGTTTCGTCCTTCTCTGGCCTGCTAGGGTTCAGAGAAGCGCTGCCTGAAAAGGGAGCTAACAGTCCATGTCACCAAGGAGAAAGGCCATCAGAGAGTGGTCAAATTCATACCTCTGGGCTTCTCCCTGAGAGAATCTGCCCTCATTGCACCGGGGTCTAGGGATGGGGCATAGGAGCTGCAGAGGAGGGTGCTGGTGTGCCAGGCAGGCCAGGGCTCACTTGCAAGGTGTATGGCAATATGTGTGACCCTTTAAGAAATGCTATTCAGGGGCATCTGGGTGGCTCAGTGGTTGAGCATCTGCCTTTGGCTCAGGTTGTGATCCTGGGGTCCTGGAATCGAGTCCTGCATTGGGTTCCCCACAGGCAGCCTGCTTCTCCCTCTGCTTATGTCTCTGCCTCTCTCTGTGTCTCTCATGAATAAATAAAAATCAGAAAGAAAAGAAAGAAAGAAAGAAAGAAAGAAAGAAAGAAAGAAAGAAAGAAAGAAAGAGAAAGAAAGGAAGGAAGGAAGGAAGGAAGGAAGGAAGGAAGGAAGGAAGGGAGGGAGGGAAGGAAGGGCTGTCTACAGAAAGGAGCTTTAAAAATGTTCTCTCCAGGTAGGAAGAGCAGGGGGTGGATCAAGTTTGAATTTATCCCTATAGCCTGAAATGTTCCACTGGAAGGCCAAAGACCCCAGCGGGAACTCTAGGGGATACCAAGTCCCATGTTTCTCTTGCAGGGCATGGGGGCTGGGAAGAGTAAAGGAGAGTGTTAACATACACCTGGGTGTGTATACATGTGAAGCTGAGTGTATGTGTCTGCGTGTAAACGTATATATATGTTTATGTGTGTGAGATACAGAGAAGAAGGTGTGGGTGTATTTCTGTGAATATATGAGTGTGTGTTTATATATCTATATACAGGCAAGTGTGTGTCTGTGAAATCCTTGTCTATGTGTCTGTGAGTATAGGGTGTGATGTCTGCTGTCACCTTGCCTTGACTTTGGGGGTTGGGTGGGGCCTTCCCAAAGCTCTGGGAAACCTTTTCCTTCTTACCAACCTTTACCAATCCTCTCTCTTCCTATGCCTGGGCCTCTCCTCCTTTACATTCTCCATAGGGCCTGAAAATGGGGCAGAAAATCCCAAGTGACCCTTTCAAAGTCGCTGATAAAAGTCAGCAAAAGGAGGCTCCTGGGCCACCACCAGGCCTCCCCACTCACACTCTCCCTCTGGAAGAAGATGCCAGCCCCTTCCCCTGCCTGACGACAGCCTGTCCAGTCTTAGCCAGCATCCAGATTTTTACCTCTCTGTGACCGCCGAGAGCTCTGAGCATTTCTCCATTAGCAGTTTCTCGAGCTGTAGAAAAAAATAGAAAAGTCTATTTGAGTCAACAAGCATAGGTTGAGGACCAACTACTGTACAGGGCCCTCCAGGGTATAAAGATGAATCAAATCACCTGATTTTGGAAGCAGGCACATAAACTGTAACACAGTGCTATATGGATGGCAAGACACCATCATCAGCTTCTTTGGGAGCTCAAAAAAGAAAACCAGGCACTGAGTTATGCTGGGGGATGTGGGATGCTTCAGAGAGGAAGGGACATTTGAGCGGGGCTGCTAGGGATGAATAGGAGTTTACTGTCTGTGAAGTGGAGCAAGGAAAAGGGTAAAGCACTGAGCTGGGGAGTGAATGCCAGAAGAAAGAAAACCAGATGACAAGGCGATTTTCAATGCTCCATTATAGGCTTAGAAAGGAAGCTTCAAGATCATGGGCTTCAGAATCAGAAAGAGACTGAATATGACTTAACTTTGGGCAAGTTACTTAAGCTCTCTGAATTTCTGTTTCCTCATCCATACAGTGAGGATATCATACTAGCTAATATTTTTCAGCAACTGTTTTTCATGTTTAACATGTAATAACACATTAGTCCGCACAACATATGTATAAAAAATGTGCTATTATTATACTCATTAGGGTGATGGAACTGGGGCACAGAGAAGGTAAGTAACTTGCCAAGGTCCCACAGCAGAGCTGACACTTGAGCCCAGTCTGGCACAAAAGTGGGTACACGGCACCCCTGAACAGCCTCTCGCAGTGGCTATGCCTGCCTCACACGTAGTGCAGGTTAAATGAGGCGTGTGTGGGCAAACACCTAGCTCGGTGCCCAGAACGTGCTAGGTTCTCAATAAAGGTCCTTACTATCTTCCCTGCTTCTCAGAACAGGAGGGAGGCCCTGGAGCAGGAAAGGTTCAAACACTTTGGACACTTCGGACCCAGTCTTCCAGAAGGCATCCCCTTCCAAGGGCCCGTGCCCTTGCCAAGACAGCCGACCTGACTCATCTCCTGTGAGGAGCTCCTGCTGACCGCGCTGTACTCGCTGACCATGGAGCGGGCGTGGCAAGTCAGACGCACGCTCATGCTGTGGACGCGTGCCCAGCGGTCCTGGGCCAGCTTCTGTCCAATCCTGCGCAGCTCGGTGCTGATGACCCAGCCCCTCTTGAGAAGCAGCTGCAGGGGGTCTCCGGGGCCAGGGCCGCCAGCCAGGATGAGGTCACTCTGTGCATCTTCCTCCAGGCTGATAGGCTTTGCCTGCAGGACGCACATGCACTCACACTCGGTCATGAGCTTCAAGTCCTCCATCCAGCGCTGGACCGAGTCCACCTGCATCAGGTGCAGCCTGCAGCCAGGGAACAGTGCCACGGTGGCCATCAATACCCCGCGATCGCCAAAGGTTTCCATTTCAGGCCATCAGATGTTTACTAAACACCTCCTATATGTTCATCAGTGTTTCTTGTGTTCACTTACCATGGTAACCCTCTTATTTTCCACTATCTCCATCTTACAGATAACAAGAAGGAGGCACGGAAGTTTTGGAAGCAGATGACCAGACAAGCAACAGGCAATGAATCTGGCACGTTAGCAGACTATATTCACCAGAAGAAGAAGAAAAGAGAAAAAGCCTAAATATCAAGGAGTGCTTCTGGTGTTATGAGCTATGGTACAGCTACACAATTCATCGAGTATGAACCACAAAGAGCAGACTCACACGATCAGAAAGGGGATAGAGAGGATGGAAACACATATGATCATCATGTTCTAGAGCTAGAAAGCTAAGCAAACTGGCCTAAGAGCTTCTAAGAGGAAAGACGTGAACTAGTCACTGGCTCACTGACTCATTCACTCCATAAGCACTGCAGTGGACAGCTGTCACTTTTGTCCTTCTAGCATCCTTCCTCCTTCCATCAACGGCAGAGGCAAGTTACATTGCTGCCTCTTGGTGTGGTGGCCTGGGCTTCAGCTGTTCCCTCCTCCCAAACACAGGGGCTGCAAGGGTGTGAAGGCACGTGCCTGGGAACCAGCATGCGGCCCCTGTGGTTGAAGAGCTCTGGGCCCTGGGGCAGGGAAGAGCTCTGGGGCCCTGGGGGGCCGGGGAGGTGCGGGGGACACACTCATGCCCCCTTCCTTCAGGCCTGGAACGGAAAGGGCCATGGAAAAGCCAAGGAGGGAGAAAAAGGGAATCAGTGCCCCAAACTTCCCCTGGCTTTGGCCCTTTCTGGAAGGCCTGATGAGATCCCAGACTCCCCTTTTTGTCACCCCCTCCGCCCCTATCTTGCACAGAGGTGTGCTCCATTCTCGTTCTTTAAGATCTTTAAGAACTAGAAAGAAAGTGGGATTTCGGAAGCCGTGTTAATTAAAACCCTAGCTGATTTATTGCTCGGCTGGTAAGAGAAATGGAATGACAAAACTATTGATTTCTCTAGTATCTGCGTTATTAGGGCCTGTGAGCGTCTGTTTGTGGATATGAACTCATTTGGGTGTCTGTCTATATTATCTGTATGCCGGTGTCTGGATGTCTGGCTTGGAGCTTGTGTGTCTCTACCTGCGCAAATAGTCAGATGATTGTGTGTGTTTACAAGCCCTTGCATCAGATAAACTCGATGACTAAGAACAGCTGGGGTGGGCCTTGAGCGTGGGCTGCATTTAATGACTCAATTCCAAAGTAAAGTGTGTAGAAAGGGGACAAAGAAAAAGTAACTTTGCAGTGGAGAAACCTGACATAACCTCATCCTACTCAAGAGATCTAAATGAACCTCACTGCTCATCAGCTGTGTTGACCGCATGGTACCTCTGATGAGATGTGATGAAAAGGCCTTTCTTCCCTCAAATACATGGCCTCAGTCTCATCATGGGAAAGGCATCAGGGGCCGGCTCAGGAACACTCTACAGAATACCTAATCAGTACTCCTCAAAAGTGTTGGCGTCATCACCAACAAGGTAACACTGAGAACTTGTCATAGGCCAAAGGAGACAGAGGAGATGTGATGACTAATTATAACAGGATCTCCTGGATGGAATCCTGAAACAGAAAAGAACCTTCGGGGGGCACCCCCGGGTGGCTCAGTGGTTGAGAGTCTACCTTTGGCTCAGAGCATGATCCCGGGGTCGTAGGATCAAGTCCCACATCGCGTTTCCCACAGGGAGCCTGCTTCTCCCTCTGCCTATGTCAGCTTCTCTGGCTGCCTCCCATGAAAAAATAAATAAAATCTTTGAAAAAGGAAAGAACCTTCATAGAAAACTAGTGAAAACCACATAAAGTCTGGAGTGGAGACACAGCCCACCGTGTCAGGGCCTTGAGCGTAAGAAAAGCTTCCGCAGGCCCAGGTCAACAAGGCTTATACATTCTCACATGGGGGCAAACAGAGCTGGCTCTGGTACTCACGGCCTGTGTGGCCAAAGGGAAGCTGTGGCTGCTTTCTTTTTTTCCTTTTTCTGAAATTTTTATTGAAATATCATAGGTACATAAAGGTGAACAAATTATAATATCAAGGGACAGTTTGGTGGATTTTCAGCATCCAGGGAGTCTCCCTTGTGCCCCCTTCTGGTCACTCCCCAACCAGGATAACCAGCCTCCTGACCTAACAACACTCCTTAGTCTTTTCAGTAACTTAACCTCTCTGAGCCTCAATTTCTTTATCTGTCACAAAAAAGATAATAATTGAAACTTCCATGCCAGGTAGATGAAAGAACTACATCAAATGGTTGAATGTGAAAGACTTAGGACAGTATGTGGCATAAAGAAATGGTCAAAGAGGCTAGTTCTCCTTGCTGCCCTTCCCCCATGTAACGCTTCAGCACCTCCAGAAATTACTAACCTACTGGCTAGAAGTTTCTGAGCACATTCCACATGTTGAGCACTGTGCCAAGTGCTTTACATGAATTGTTTAATTTACTCTTCAAGACAAGCATCTGAGTTAGTAGTATTGTTATCCCCATTTTACAGATGAGGAAGCTGGGACGAGAGAAGTAAAGTCACCCGGATAAAAAGTAGTAGCACTGACACTGAAATGTTGGTCTCTCTCACTCCAGAGTCTACTCTTAACCTCTTTGCTTTACTGCTTCCCACTCTGAGAATCCTTCAAAAAGAAAAAAAGACCTAGAGGAGCAGAGAGCAAGAAGAGACAATTAACACAGGGAGACAGGAAGAACAATTTTTCCCAAGCAAAGACTATTGGGGCTGCATCTGAGCAACAGGAAGAGAAAGGAAGCTGTGAGCCACTGGCTCTGCCTAAAGCTCTGGGGTACAGGGAGGCCAGGATCCTGGGCCCCAGAGAGGCAATCGCTGCTTTCAGGCCAAACCCACTCCCGGCTGCCCAGTTGCAGGAGCTGCCTTTCAGGGTGACGGCCGCAGAGACACAGACAGACAGGGGCGCCTTTGGGGGAAAGCAGAATCTGGTTTTCTTTAAGAATGAGCTTAAAATAACTTCTGTTTCTAGAGATGGTTTAGACAAATACCTCCTCTTTCTCCCCCAAGGAGCAAACAAATGTAAAAAGAATAAACTGAGCAGATTAGTAAACCCATAAATCCCTGCCTCCTCTTAACCTCACTCCATGATGAGGCCTCAGGGCCCATCCAGCAGCAGGCCCAACCTCGGCCAACTCTGATAGGGCTGGGAGGGCATCAAGAGGTTCTGACCCACCAGCAGGTGGAGGGGAAAATGGGTTGGCTGCTCAAAACCTGTATATACATCCCACCCAGCCTGATTTTAACCAATATGCTTTGCACAAAAGCTGCTCAAATTACAGCTAAACTGTTGAGGTTATAAGATAGTTGTGTGTGGTATAAAAAAAAATAGAGGATTGGATGAAAAACTGTTCTGAGGGCAGAGGAAAAGGTAAATTAGACAAAACCCACCAGTAATAATAATTAATATTTACTGGACCCCTATACTACCCCAAGGGTTGTACAATTATCATGCATTATTTTATTCTCACAATATCCTGATTAAGTGCACACTTTCCTTGTCTCCATTTTACAGATGGAAATACAGAGATGCAGAAGATTTATAGGACTTAGCCAGAACTCCCTGCAGGCAACCTACTCCAAAGATTGCCCAAAGATTGTCTATATTGACCACACTATATAGTTTCTCCACCTGTCTCTCTCTTCCACCAACTTTGAGATATAGCTCAAAGGCAGGTATTGACCTACCTCAGCATTGCCAGCACTCAGCCCGACACATATTAAGGATCAATAAATATTTAACTGATCTAGTAAACCAGAAATTGCCTGGTAAACATCGATTATAAGCCTTCCCACAACAGCTGGAAATATTTTCTGGACTTGGAAGGGTGTTACAAGAGGAGCACTTAGGAACCCCTTGAACTCACCCAGTCCTCTGTTCTGAACTACATTTCAGGAGATGTGGCTTCTATCTTTGTCCGGTGTGTCAGATGTAGTGTAGATGAGTTCCCTGCAATGTGGTACAAGTGTAAGAGTTGGGTAAGTAACTACCTTCTACAAAAGACATCATCATAAAGACTTCTATGTTAAAAAGAAGGTGTCAGGAGAACCAGAAAAATCTTTTGTTCAAGTCATTTTATAAACATTTCTATGTTCCACAAAGCAGTGCTCTGGTTGCATAAAGCTGGGGCCCTTAACTACTACTATCCCAATTCCCAGAACTTTCAGGCAAATGGTAAGGCGTGGATATAGATACTCAAGCCCTGGGGGACGTGGCTAAAGGGAGACCTTAGTTCCTATGGGAAAAGCTCATCCCCATAGGAAACCAGTAGCAAACACAAAAGATCCTCACCCAGTTCGATAAGGCTTAAAACACTAAGCAGTGTCTCTCAGACAACCCCTGCTTGACCCGATTCATTGAAGCGCTACTGATGTTGAGCATGTGCCAGGCTTTGTGCTGGTGATCCCTCCCCCTCGGACACTCGCACCATCTAAGAGGAGAAACAGACACCAATAAATAGAACCCAACCTCATTCTCATCCCAACACCATGTGCCACACATCTCAAGCATTTCCAGGAGTCCCCAGAGTTCACCTTATACACAGTTGACCCTTGAACAACCCAGGTGTGGACAACACGGGTCCACTTATCTGTGGATTTTTTACAGTGCAGTACTATCCGCGTATTTGATCTTCCTTAGGACTTTCTTAGTAACATTTTTTCTCTATTTACTTTATTATAAGAACACAGTATATGATATATAAAACATACAAATTATGTGTCAGTCAACTTTATGGTATCAGTAAAACTTCCAGTCAATAGTAAGCTATTAGTAGTTAACTTTCAGAAGAGTTAAAGCTTACATGTGAATTTTCAACTGGGTGGGGAGTGGGTGCCCCTAACCCCTGTGTTGGTCAAAGGTCAACTGTAGATTC